TTTTTTTTTTTTTTTTTTTTTTTTTTTTTTTTTTTTTTCAGTACTGGAGAGTGAAGCAAGGCATGCTCTGCTGCTACCACTAAGATGCTTAATTTTTATTTTTGAGGCCATCCCACTGAGTTGCACAAGCTGGCCTTGAACTTTGGATCCTTCTGCCTCAGCCTCCTAAATAGCTGGGATTTGCTGGTGTGCGTGCCGAACCCTGCTTTCTTTAAAACAAGCCCCAGAGATGACAGTTCTAAGTGGTCCAGTAGCTACCCAAGGGTGTTGGGGGGTGTGGTCACCTTTGGCTGGTGACCTGGTCCTGTGTGCTGGGATACAGATGCCTGTCACCAGGGGATACTGCACACCAGAAGCCCTCTGAGTGTGGCTCTGGGGCCAGCAGCAGCAGCAGTGCGGAGCCGACTGGAAATGCAGGTCATCAGCCAGGGGGTGCTCCCAAAGTTCTGCTTCACAACACCCCTGGAAGGTGTCCTCCTCAGTCTCCTGTCCTAAGGAAGCACCTTCCCCTGTAGGCCTTGCAGCACAGATCAGGTAAGGAGCTGGGAGCTGCAGCCTGAGCTCCTTAAGGCAAGTGAGGGCCCAGCTGCGACCCAGACCCGAGTTCCAGGGCCCCAGTGAGCACAGGGCGTGCAGAGGCGGAGCCCTTTGAAACAAAGGCTTGCAGAGGGGTCCAACTCCATGCCGAGCTGACGTCATCGGCACCAAGGGCATGCATGGGAGTGGCTCCACGAGAATGGACTGCCAGGGACCAGTTCTAATTTGGAGCAAGATGAAACCACAGAGCCAGCCACACCCCAGAGAACTATTTTAATAGTGAGTGGTGGCACTGTCTGCCAGCCAGGGGGAGAGGAAACCTCCTGTTGGTGGCTGGAAAGGCAGCAGGACTTGGAATGTTTTCTGCCTCCTCCAAAGCATGTGTTGTTCCTCCATGCCCACATGTCCACCCGAGTGACAGCAGAGAGGTAAGCAGGGACAGGAGTCCTCAGTTCCCTGGTGGCCCCAGCTCAGACCCAGATGGTGACATGGCCAGGGGCTCAGCAAGTGCACTGGGAAAAGATTTTCTTTTCTTCCCTCACTCCTGAGGTGGCCCAGTCTGTCATCTGCTTTAATCCAAGCACAAGGCCTATCTCCCAGTGGGCCACTTCCTACTAATCTATACCCAAGTCACATCTGTCCCATGGTTCTACTACATGGTGCCCTTCCTGAAAGTCTCCTGGTGCATTTACAACAGCGAGGGCTAGAAATGTGTACAGGGTGTGTGTGTGTGTATGAAAAAGATTGTCTGAGAATGCGCACATTTTCATGTGTGGCTATGTTTGTTTTTGTCTGGTGTGTGTGTGTCTGAGAGTGTGACAGTTGTGTATGCGTGAGTGGCTAAGGATGTATTATGTCTGAGTGTATGCATGTGACATAGTCATAGCTCCTTAAAGGCTAAGAAGCTGATTTTTTTTTTTTTTTTTAGGCGGAACCAGGGATTGAACTCAGGCCCTTGCGCTTGCCAGGGAAGTGCTTATTCCACTGAGCCATCTCCCTGGCCCCAAGAAGCTGATTCCTACTTTGGGGACTGATTTTCTGGGCTGGTCAGTAGAATTCTTAGTAGATATCATTATGTGCCTATCTTCCCACATGTCTCCCACCTGGAAGGTCTTTGGCACCAGGCAAGGATGGTTAATCAGGTTCTAGAACAGTTTCACAAATGAGCCCACGAGGCCATCCAGTCTCATGATTCTTAATGCAGGGAAACTGAGGCCTGAGGGGAAGAGCTGGCCCCCAGGTCCCTGTCCTGCTTCCTGTGCAGCAGGGGCCGCCCAGAGTGGAGTGGAGCAGGTGGACAGTGGAGCAGGGTTCTGCCGTGGTGAGCAGCTCACACAAGCTTCACCACTGCCCATTGTCTCTCTCCAAGGAGAGCCAGAATACATCTCTCGATGCATTTCCATAGTCAGCCAAGATCCTGCGCCCACCCACCCCCATGTGGAGACACACGGCTGCTCCACAGGCCTGGCACTCTGCCCCTGCCTGGGGATGGCTGACCCTGCAGGCCATGTTGCTCCTCTGCCTGGGCCCTCAGGCTGCAGACAAACAAGGCCAGGGGCAAAGAGGGCTGGGGCAGGGCAGAGACCTCTCCTAGGGCACACGAGGAGAGCAGAGGCTTCCTGTGGAGACCAGTATGAGTGGAAGCTTTGGGGCCCGTGTGGGGCCAGTGTGGAGGTGGTCATGCTCTGAGGACTGGAGGAAGCCTGGGCAGGGCCACATGCACCTGTGCTTCAGAAAGCTAAAGACGAGAACCCTTGGGGGTTCTGACCCTGGCCAAGGGGCCTCACCACTCTTGCTTTCCTTCTTTTACCTCAGATAAACTACATTTTGTCTCTTCACAGGCAAGGTGAAGAAAGTGGGGAAGAACCTACCCAAGGATGTTGCTGATAAGAGATATGCATGTGTGGGTCACTGCCCTGTGGCTTCTCTTCTGTATTGCTGTGGACCTAGAATGCTCTAAAAAAAAGTGTACTCATAAGACAGGTAAGAAAACAAAAACCAGCTGGCGTGGTGATGCAGGCCTGAAGTCCGAGTATGTGGGAGGCCGAGGTAGACGGGTTTGCACTGAGTTCAAGGCCAGCCTGAATTATGTAGGGAGATACTGTCTCAAACAAAACACTATTGAAACTCTCCATAGTTCTATATGACATTTCAAACTCCAATCTCTTAATTTCTTTCCTTTTTCCTTTTATCTTTTTAAATTTTTTTAAAAAATCATTTATTTATTGGGTACAGGGTCTCACTACACAGCTTGGACTTGTAATGATCCTCCTGTCTCAGCCTCCCCGGCACTGAAATTACAGGTGTGTCCCACCATATCTGGTTTCAGCGACTGGTAGGTTGGTACCACATGCGGTACCTGGGATCGAACTCAGGTCCTTGCACTTGCCAAGCAGGCGCTTAAACTGCCAAGCTATCTCCTCAGCCCCTCTACCCTTCCTTCTTCCCTTCCTTCCTTCCTTCCTTCCTTCCTTCCTTCCTTC